CAGTTTTCAATGAACTTGACAGCAGACATGGCATGATGTGAAGGATTACAAATGCAATCTGTATTGAGACGGCTTCTAAAAAGCTGATCATGACTGATTTTTATTATTTTTTTCCCACAGTGTTGTTATGACTGGTTCCTACAACAACTTCTTCAGGATGTTTGACAGGGACTACCGACAAGACGTGACCTTTGAGGCGTCGCGGGAAAACAGCAAGCCGCGATCGGTTCTGAAGCCTCGCAAAATAAGCACAGGTGGGAAGCGTAAAAAGGATGAGATCAGTGTAGACAGTCTGGACTTTAACAAGAAGATCCTCCACACGGCCTGGCATCCGCTGGACAACATCATTGCCGTGGCAACTACCAACAATCTGTACATATTCCAGGATAAGATGAACTAAAGTTTGTTAACCCTTTCAGATCACGGTTTCTTCTTAAACCCTTTTGCTCTCAGAAAAAAATATATCTAAATCCGTCTTAAGCCAAGCCCCTAGAAATTGATCAAATCTGTCCTTATAATATTGTGAGAAGACTTATTTTGTAAATGGTACCATACACCCAGCCATCAGTCTGCTGTTAGTTTCCTCCATTAGGAGCAATCCATCCTCCTGAGCTTCCATTTGTAACTCCACTACATCCCAAACCAAAGGGAAAACATACCTTTTTATCACTTTTTGTGCCATATTGACTTGATTAAGTTATCTGTTATCGCTACTAGTTTGTTGTGGCTTTAATGTTTCTCTGTGTTTGTCCCAAAATTCATTTTTGTACTGCCCTGATAGATTAATACAAGCTGTCAACACCTTTTATTTGTTGAATGAGTTTCAAGTTGCCAAGTTTTTTCCCGTCTTTCCTGATGTACTGTATGATTGTACTGTTAACGGACTAAGCAAACCATTTTTATGTTTAGCTAATTCATTAAAATCTTTGGAGAAATGATATCAAAGCTAACAAAGTAAAAAAAAAAAATTAACTTCACTGCAGCTGCTTGTTTACATTCATCTCCCTTCTGTATGAAAATCTGGCTGTGATTTTACATTCTTATAACCTCTATTTCCAGAGTTTTGACCTTTTTTTTTCCCTGAGGTTTAGGATACACGAGTCTGTCTTAAAGTCTTCTGTCATTCAGGGTTAATGTTAATCAGTCTAATGCAAGCGTACCCATATCAGTGACAGGGAGAGCCATAAGATGTCGTTGATATTTTTATTCACTCAGGTTATGGGGCAGCACTAGAGAAAAAAATGCGTGTAAAACCAAAATGTATGACAGGTTTTCCTACAGAAGTATGTTTTATCACTGTATTTCTGCTGTGGTTGAGTTTATAGTAAATGGAAGTTGTTGAACTCTTCCCTTTCTATGTGTGTCTGTTTGTGGTACTGCTTGGCTTTACATCACTTTACCCGTGCCAGGTTACATGTGCCTGTCTGAGCATCCTTCCTCATTTTTATTTATATTGTATAGGTAGGAGACACTTTAGCTCTTGGCTACCTAAAACTAGAAGGTTTGGTGGAGATGGATCAATGTTGCTTTTCCTAGCCGGCATTGGCTGCTCCAACCTGCTGAGACGGTTTTTGGTTAACTTTTAAACACAAATTCCCCAAGGGAGTATACATAAAATAGGAGCTACGTGCTGCTGTAACAGAAAATGAAGTTTGTCACAGTACTTTCTGCTGGTTGATGCATTGCTTAGACAGAAAATGGTGGGAATTCTGAGTTTTGATGTGTTCGGGGTCTGCCTCTTTACTTTGTTGACCTCCCTATCACCACCCGAGCCAATTGAAAGAAAGAATTGGATTGATGGAATCTCTGATGTCATTATTTTATTTTGAGATTGGAGGAGAAAAAGCTGCAAATGATTATGGGTATCACTCTAGCTTATTTTATGCTATCTGATGCGTTCCTCTAAAGGTAAATATAACTAATAAAAACCCAAGTCTAACTGTTGGTTACCTTGTATTGTCAAAGTAATTGAAGTCTCATATTACCATAATTTGCCTGGTTAGACGATGGCTGATCATGCCAAAGTGTCCTGTTTTTACACACAGTGAAGTGCCCCTGATCCAGCGGTTCAGGTTCACCCTTTGCTGTTTTGTGGGCAACCACTATAAACTCAGGACAGAACCTGTGTTAAAGGCCTCAATGATCCCACGTGCCCTATTTGTATTCTCATGTGGTCTCTGGCACCAAAACTTTGTGCTGCGTCTAGTTTATCTAAAATAGATGCGCTGTTGCAGTAAAAACAAAACTTATTACTTGCATCTAGATTTTATTTGTAGAATGTTTTGTACTATACCTGATCAATGAAGAAGAATCCCTATAGCTGATTTATTTTTTTATGAATTAAGACAATATTACAGTCTGATCACTGTAGTTTCTTGACCTATCTTCCTCAGGCTGACTACATGATGGGTCTTTTCAAAGTCAGGTTTCCCTTTGCTTTTTGGTCAGTATAGCGGGTAGATGAATCAAAGGTTTGCATCAGGTTTATGCAGGGTTGGGATTTACGGGTTTCAGTACCTCCTACCTGATGAGCACTATACTGTACTTTTGCCAATTAAGTTGTTTTCTATCTAATTTATTTAGAAGATTCAGTGTTAGAATTTGAGTTAATGTAAAACCTATTTGGTTTATGTGCCATGGGTTTGCTTGATGGATAATTTTTTTTTTTTGGCTTAGAATAACAAAACCCCCTGTCTTTTTCTTCATTGAAGGCTAGCCAGATCAGCTGACTACTTTTAAGTGATGTTTGTTGATCTATGCGACACTTGTGGCTCTTCTTTTATTCAAAATAATCTGTGAAGCACTTCATGTGCAGCTTGTTATCGGAGCAAAGGGTCACCGGTTGAAATTTAGGGTTGATGTGTTACCTATTCTGGCTCACCGTCATATTTAGTAGAAAACATCTGTGAACTGTAAAAATGTAATGAAGAAGATAAAGGTTATCTTTTCCACTTCGTAAAATATGTCTTGTAAACGAGCCACTGAGACTACGTCTACTGGATCATATTTGTGAAAGTGTCGCTCCTTTTTCAGTATGATTATTAACTACTGTTGAGTTCCAGTCTCTCAGGGTTCTGGGTCGTTTCTTTTGATGGTGAGATAAGTTTCTAGTATTTTTATGTTGTTGAAACTTTTTTTTTTGTAATGCTAAACTTTTTTTTTTGTCTGCTGTTTTCCTGGATAAATGAATCTTTTCTATTGCAACTATTTTCTTCCATTTATTGAGAAAATCAGCATCTTGTTTCACAATAAAATGAATTAAAATGTACTACTAACAATAAAAAATTTTTTTTTTTGCAATTTAAAAACAAAAAGATTTTTATAACTCTTGCTAAATTCTCTTCATACCAGCTCTCATTCGAAGCGATGGTGTCAACAAAATGGAAGTTCACAAGACCCCTGCTCCCTTTTTGTAGGATTATGAATAAATAAGAGTATAATCAGCTACACTGATTAACCTTCTTGGTTCACCCAGTAGACTGCTCAGGGGAATCTTTTGCTGCTTTCTCCCAAAATTGTTATTTTCAAGGAAATGAACTTTCAGAATTGAAACAATGTTCACATTTTGCTCTGTCTTACACTCTTTCCCACATAGCTATAAAAAAACAACAACCCAGGGTTAAGTAGATTGCCCAATTTGCATATTAAAGTGAAAGATTTTGTCCTCTTTACAGAGCATTAATACATGTCTGTGTCATGAGAATGGTAAAGAAAATGCACTGTTTTTCTGTGTATTACATCTACTTTTTGTTATTTTAAAGGGGACAAGGAGTTTGGGTGATCTGTTTGGGAATAACTACAGAGGGTTCACTGTACAGCATTGTTTGTAAAATGGAATAAGGTACAGTTTAGATATGTAATAAAGGATTTCACATTTGAATTCATAATTAAATTACTGTACTACTGTATTGTTACTGTTTGGAATTTATTTTGGGTTAAATCACAACTTCCATAATCATCTTCAATTAAGTAAATACTGGTTTTAGGACCATGACCCACAAGGATATTCATTATAGTAATATCGTACACCTCTCTAGATCAGTGGTTACGATTAATTTGATAGAAATGTATGTGATAACTGCATAGAAAGTAGCACATGTGGAGATTGACGTTTGTACAAATTATCTGCAGATTAGCAGAAACTCATATTAAGCTGAGAGGCATCCCTGAACATCAATTTTCAAATCATGACAAGATTTTTTTTCCAAAGATAAATGTTTTTGTACAAGCATATCGCACACATTTACCAAAAAAATACAATACATTTGACTTGTAGGAAAATTCTTTAACTATATACTGTGGAGGATCAACTCTGCCATATTTGACAATAAATACAGAAATAAATGCTCTATAAATAAATAAGCATACAATTAATTGCCCCCCGAAATACAATAAACCAATAAATATAGGTAGAAATGTAATTATACACTGAGACATAAATGTATTTATCTCTTTTAATTAGCTTCTTTATTTATTCGCCTTTGTAATAATTACCTTATTTATTGTCACCTATAATCTTCAACTTTATTATTTTTTAAGTATTTATGTGCATGATATATTTTCAGACTCTCCTCTCCTCCTGTAGATTCGACGATGCAGTAAAATGCTAACCAACCAATGGGCAGAAGTTGACCCTCTAAGACACAGCCCTTCCTCATTTACATCATGAGGCAGAAATGCAAAAAATGACAGGCAGAAATAACGTTGAAGAAATAAATAGGGTGAAAAAAAATACAAAGGAAGAATATAACAGACAAAAATATTATCATATGCACATAAATAAATACTTTAAAAAATAAGTAATAAAGTTGATTATATGTTTTTATTTCTACCTAGATTTATTTGTTTATTGTATTTTGGGGGCAATTAATTATATGCTTATTTATTTATTTTTGCATTTTTAAATATGGCAGAGTTGGTCCTCCATAATATACATTCAGTCTTTCGAGTAAACAAATGAAGAGGGGGCGGTCTCATTGATCCAGAGACTGTCGTTGAATTATCTATGCTGCGCATGCGCAGACCCGTGTTTAGCGTCAGAACTATAGTCAACAAACATGTCTACCGCTCCTGCTCCCCAAAACAATAACGAAGATCCCGGACTTCAAGGTAGGTCGTCATCATTTCTGGTACGTGTCTCCTTAATACATCCCGCTTTGTATTATTAATTAAAATGCGCAAATGTCTGAAAATATAGTTGTACGGGTTTTATGTTAAAAGTTATATTCGTGGTGGGAGTTCCTTGTCTTCTGGTAGGGATGAATAACGTGTTGCTTACGTCACGGCGAAATAGTCCAACCATGGCTCAGAACGCAGGTGATTGACAACTTAAGCAGCCAATCGGGTTAAGAGGTCTGGGCTGGGTTTAGCTTTAGCCAACATGAAGACAAGTTGGGAAACAAAAGGCCAATGTGATTGAATATTGTCTCTGGCCCTCCTCAAATGTCCACAAATAGATGCTAGCTTTTTGATCTCGACATGTAAACATCCGCTTATTCAAAAGACAGTTTCATGGCAACATAAGTACCACATGAAGAGTGGTCGCATTCTGTCTGCTTAAAAAACACACGCATGTAAATATGCCACTGGGTATTTTAGGCTTGAATGGACTCTGCTCTGTGTGTCAGGAGAGAAAGCTTAGCTGTGTGTATTGAAATGCAGCCGGAGCAGCGACACATCTCCGCAGATTGGCTCACAATGCTCACCACAGTTATGCAAGACCCCAGGAGAGCAGTGATGTCAAACTGGTCAGATGCGCCGTCGACTCAGCAGCATGTTTTTAATTTACGGTTGGCTCAAAGGGAGAGAGAGGCACCTGATGCCATCACAAGGTCGAGACGTTGTATAGAGTGCAGGCCTCAACAGATTACATAACTTTGCGGGGCAGTGGCACAACGACCTCCTACGGAAGAGGATTAGGGCCACTGAAAAAATAAAAAAAAGTTAACAGATATTTTAATATTATTTCAGTTTAATATGTCAGAAAAAAGTCAGAATTCTGTCTTTAATCTCAGAATTCTGACTGTAATCTCAGATTTCTGACTTTTCTTCTAAGAATTCTGACTTTTTTTCTCAGAATTCTGAGAGTAAAGTCAGAAAGCCCTAATCCTCTTCCATACACACCTCTCCCTTCATGGTGCCCATCTACATTAAGATCCAAAATTCTGAGATTAAAATCAGAAATCTGAGAAAAAAAGTCAGAATTCTGAGAAAAAGTCAGAATTCTGAGAAAAAAGTCGGAAATCTGACTTTTTTCTCATATTAAACTGAAATAAAATAAAAAAATCAGTTAACTTTTTTTTTCAGTGGCGCTAATCCTCTTCCATAACCTCCATACATGCTGCAACGGTTCCTGTTTATTCGGATGAATTGGCAGTTTTTATTTTCTTTCAACCAGTGCATCTGAATAAATGAGAATTTTTTTTAAATCTAAAAGTGTTTAATTTCTTTTTAATAAAGCAAAATGTCATATGGTCTTCAAATGGTAGTTTTCAAACAAAACTTTCCTTTCAGAAATTTTGTTAAAGTAAAGCTCTATGTTTACACCTTGAAACTTTCTCTCTCTGGTTCTTTTTCCTGAAAAGAGATCACTTGGGACAAACTCTTTAAATAACACTTCATTATGTGTGCGTATTAAATAACCATGAGACATGACAACAGATTTTGATAGCAATTGTAATCTTACTCAGACCGGAGAAGTTGCTTTAAAGCTACAGTGTGTAATAATTACAGGGATATACAGTCAGAAATGTAATATATTATACATAACTATGTTATTTATCATCATCTACGAGCTCAGCCTCTTAACCTTAATATTTGCGTTGCCTTAGAATTCGTTATTTATAATTACATAGGAGCGGGTCTCGCAGCCATGGAGGCAGACATCTTTGCGCTACGGCAGCGCAGAGCCAACAAACTAGCGATTGCGAGATCGCCCATTACGCTCGAAAGTAACTACGGCAAGTTGAGAGAGATGAACTGAGACGGTACTGAACACACAGACTAATGAAATACTATCTGTAAAATTATCTATGTAAACAAACCTCATCACTTGAGAAGGTAGGTGATGCCGTTGTGGAAGACATTTTGTCCCGTAACGCTCGCCGTACTGTTGGGGGGGAGAAGCGGTGGGGGGGAGATGTTCATGTTGCTGCGGTCTGCAGTCTGGACATTAGATGTCGCTGAAAATTACACACTGTAGCTTTAAGTTACAGAAGGCAGCTGCTTACCAACCGGGCTCACTTCTCATGAGGCAGCCACGATTCACAGTTTGAGAAGCATTTTATACAACATTCTGCCACATTATGACATTATTACATCATACACGTTAGCAGATGAGGACACATCCATGGCTCCAGCCTTATAAAAATATTACACTATATCTTAGATCAAGCACACCGCTCTCTTTCCATACATAATAAAGATGGTAACTGTATATCCGGACAGAGGAACTGTCCTAAATAGAAGAACATTAATTCTGACATACAGCAGGCAGGTAATATTAGGGTGTAATAAACTCACACATCATCAATCATAATTATCCTAACAAAATTCTCCATTCAGAAATTAGAAATATAACATACGCTTACATTTTAGGAAAAAATCTCCAAGAACCGACCTATGTCATACATGTGCCAAGTTAAGCAGGGAAATAAAATCTGCTTCCCCATAAATTTGTCAGTAGAACTCCAGTATAGATGGTTGTGATGAATGTTGTGTAATTCATACTGGACCAAAGACACTTTTCAACAATGGTGAGTGGATAGTGAAGAAAAACCCATTCAAAAGTTTAGGAGGCGTCACAGGAAGTGACTTTCACGAGTCCTTCCTGAGCCAAACATAACATCAAAAGCATATTACCTCTTGAAAAAAAGGATTGCTCTGCAGTCCTCTTTTCAGTTAAAGGTATTTTTTCCTTTAATTTTGACTCCAGACTCCGAGGGAAGAGTGAAGAGGTACCTAACCAAAGATCCGGGGATAAAATTTCCACAGTCCTTGTTGAGTTGAGAATCCATGCTATGTCCCAGTGTGCTTGTGAACCTCTGCTTGAATGCAGCCCTGACTGAGCAGCGAGGTTCTTTAACCAAAGCCTTTTATGGCTTGCCTTCCTTGTGAAGAGTGTCCATCACTGCCTGCTGGGCAACCGTCAAGTCAGCAACCTTCTAGATCTTAAATTGGCCTTTTAATTCAGATCACCAAATATAGTTCTGATTTATTGAGGTTTACATGTAGATCAAACCTTTTCATGTAAAGGATAGCACTAGTGCTTGTTTTTATTTAAGCCCAATAAAGTAATTTTCTCTTTATTTTTGGTACATTTATTTCTGTTTATAAGGCTCCTGGGTAGAGCTGGAGCTGAATGGTAATCCAGGGGCAGAGCGCAGGCAGAGCAGTCTGCTTACAGCACCTGCTGAAGACCAAATCAACGCAAATGCAGGCTTGAGTCAAAGTGTCCAGCCTTTAGACGAGGTTGAAAGTGATGAAACCCTAATCGGAGGACTGGAGCATGTGCCATCATCATCTTCTATTCATAATGGAGACATGGAAAAAATACTTCTGGATGCCCAGCACGAGTCCAGCCCTAGTAACTCATCCTGTGAGAGGTAGGCCACATATGTTCTTTACCTTTGTGGGGAAAGTCACACTTTTGAATGAATGAAATATAAAGAGTGAGAATGAATGAATAGTAGTTGTATTGCATAAAGTGTTACATTGTTTTTATTCTAACCAATGCATTGACAGTCCACACAGACCACCAAGTCCTGGGCAGGATGACGGCCAGATAATGTTTGATGTGGAGATGTCCAGCCCAAGAGGAAGTCAGGTAAAAGCACTTTGACTCAGCTAAAGCAATAATGATCCTCAAAGTTTTTCACATTTTCAAATATTAAAACAACAGCGTTGAATGCATTTTATGTGATAGAGCATTCAAAGGTTGGTGGGAAATATAAAAGCTTTGTGGTTTTTTTTTTCCCCATTAAAAAAACAAAACCCAAACTTACTAAGATTACAAGAAATAAATTAGATCATTAGGTTAACTGGGTCATTTTTTTCTTCTGTTTCCTCCCACAAACCTATAAAAGACATTTCAGTAAACCGGTTACACAAAGTTATCTTTATGTATGTGTGAATTCAATTCAGTGAGGGGTTTTATGGGAAGGCAGGTAAAGCATTAACTTCATCTTTTATCATGACTGTAATTGATTAGATGAGAGTGAAAAATCTATTTTTTCCAACTCTTAACTGTACCATAAAAATGGTTTTGTATGAATGGAAGATTTTCTTTGGCCAAAATCCCTGAATTTACGCTTAAATTATTAAAATACAAAAAAGAGTGTTACAGGGAGGCAGGGAATAGGTCTGCCTCACCTCTTGTGTCGTTATCTCACATTAAGTGAATGGTATAGGAATTTTGAATTTTTGTCCATTACAGTCTCTTTTATTTGGTAACCTGCAAGTTTGATTTCACATGGCAAAAAAACACATCTATGTTCCATAATCTGTCCTTTATATGTAATAAATATGAGTGAGATTTTTAATGTTTCTAATCTGCCATAAATTCAGAGAGAAAAAGGAGAGGTTTAGGCAAAAAAGTACTGTGCCTCACCAATAGGGGGCAGTGCTAACCCCAAATCTGTTTTCTGTGTAACATACACTATATTGCCAAAAGTATTTGCTCACCTGCCTTGACTCACATATGAGCTTAAGTGACATCCCGTTCCTAATCCATAGGGTTCAATATGACGTCGGTCCACCCTTTGCAGCTAGAACAGCTTCAACTCTTCTGGGAAGGCTGTCCACAAGGTTTAGGAGTGTGTTTATGGGAATTTTTGACCATTCTTCCAGAAGCGCATTTGTGAGGTCGCACACTGATGTTGGACGAGAAGGCCTGGCTCTCAGTCTCCGCTCTAATTCATCCCAAAGGTGTTCTATCGGGTTGAGGTCAGGACTCTGTGCAGGCCAGTCAAGTTCATCCACACCAGACTCTGTCATCCATGTCTTTATGGACCTTGCTTTGTGCACTGGTGCACAGTCATGTTGGAAGAGGAAGGGGCCAGCTCCAAACTGTTCCCACAAAGTTGGGAGCATGAAATTGTCCAAAATGTCTTGGTATGCTGAAGCATTCAGAGTTCCTTTCACTGGAACTAAGGGGCCAAGCCCAGCTCCTGAAAAACAACCTCACACCATAATCCCCCCTCCACCAAACTTTACACTTGGCACAATGCAGTCAGACAAGTACCGTTCTCCTGGCAACCGCCAAACCCAGACCCGTCCATCAGATTGCCAGATGGAGAAGCGCGATTCGTCACTCCAGAGAACGCGTCTCCACTGCTCTAGAGTCCAGTGGCGGCGTGCTTTACACCACCGCATCCGACGCTTTGCATTGCACTTGGTGATGTATGGCTTGGATGCAGCTGCTCGACCATGGAAACCCATTCCATGAAGCTCTCTGCGCACTGTTCTTGAGCTAATCTGAAGGCCACATGAAGTTTGGAGGTCTGTAGTGATTGACTCTGCAGAAAGTTGGCGACCTCTTCGCACTATGCGCGTCAGCATCCGCTGACCCCGCTCCGTCAGTTTACGTGGCCTACCACTTCGTGGCTGAGTTGCTGTCGTTCCCAAACACTTCCATTTTCTTATAATACAGCTGACAGTTGACTGTGGAATATTTAGGAGCGAGGAAATTTCACGACTGGATTTGTTGCACAGGTGGCATCCTATCACAGTTCCACGCTGGAATTCACTGAGCTCCTGAGAGCGACCCATTCTTTCACAAATGTTTGTAAAAACAGTCTGCATGCCTAGGTGCTTGAATTTATACACCTGTGGCCATGGAAGTGATTGGAACACCTGATTCCAATAATTTGGATGGGTGAGCAAATACTTTTGGCAATATAGTGTATATGTAGTCCAAAATACTGGTAGCTGTATTTTCTGTTATTTTAAAGCTGTTATTCTGAAAATTATTGAGTAAAAATGTAAGAAAGTTTTTGATTTTTTTAATTGGAAAAGTGTATCAACCTCTACAATTCTTTGTTACCGTTATGTCAAATTTAAATATATTAAAAATATAATTTAGTATGAAAACTTACACACCTTCTATACAATAAACAGACTGTAGCAGTTTCTGTTTGTTTTTCACATATTTTTGCCTTTATATTTCTAGTCAGAGGATGATCCTTCAGACAAGGACAGAGAGGAGGACATTCTGATGAACAAAGCAGTTGATTGGGTGGCCAACTGGTCCAGTAGGCCTGAAAACATCCCACCAAAGTTAGTAGACCGCCAACGTCCTAATCAGTAGCCTTCAGTATATTTTCCTCTGCATCGGAAGGAGTGCTAACTGGTTGCTTGTTTGTTTTTCACAGGGAGTTCCACTTTAGACATCCCAGACGCTCGGTTTCTTTGAGTATGAGGAAGAGGGGCGTCATGAAGAAAGGTGGAATCTTCTCTGCTGACTTTCTAAAAGTTTTCATCCCTTCCCTGCTCATCTCACACATGCTGGCTCTTGGACTTGGGTACGTTTGAACACCTGTTTCTGGTTTAAAAGTATTTTAACCCACTTTTCCTGTATTGCTCATTTTTTTCCTAAAGGTTTCCTGTTTTTATGAGTGGTTCTCACAATGAAAACAATGTAATTGTAATGTCCATTATTTTAAACAAAGGGATTAGAAAATATAATTTACAATGACCATTGATTGAAAAAATACATTTAAATCAAATGAAACAGACCTTATATTAATTAGGATGATGTCATTTTAGTTATTCTCCAAGTATTTTCTATGTTTTAATCAAAGGCTGTTCAATTTGCTGATTTTATTTTAGGGTGTACATTGGGAAAAGAATCGCTGCAGCAGCCACCAGCTCCTACTGAACCTGAAAATGAAGCAGTGCCTGGGTGTTTCCATGTCTCCAAGCCTCCCAAACGTCTCCTGTAGTCAAGCTCTCACTCTCTGTATCTGTCCTACACCCACATCCTTCTCTTCCAGTCTGCATTAACCGGTGTAACACTGTAGATGTAGTCATACTGAGTACGTGGTTGCACTCCAAAAGATTTTGACATGATGGGGAATACCATATATGCAAGCCATCGACTGGAATCAAGCTGAAAAATACCAGGAATTTTGTGTCAGTTGTCAAGTTAAAGTTTCCTTTTGTGTCTTATGTTAAAGCATATGAAATGTGTCCTTTTTCTTAAGAAATATTTTTTTTTTCAGGTATTCTGAAAATGATAAATTATGAAATAACTAAGTTGCTGTGTGATTACAATATAAAAAAACACTGACAACGAGGAACGAGGGAGACATTTAATATCCTGGGAGTTTTTGGATCTTAAGGCCCATTTCCACAAGATAAAGACCACCCTACAGGATCTCTTGATTGATGGCGAATATGAAAAATCTATTTTTGAAGTATGATATTGCTTTACTAGGCTTCTCAGGCATCATACGCTCTAGGATTTCTCTTTACATACTGCAAAATGTTCCTATAATTGGAGGATTCTGCACCTCTGTTAGCAGTTTCAGCTTAAGATAAAAGAATAAAAAACAGGGATCTGATCAGCATATCGGCAGAATGAAATTATGCGTTGCAGGGGCTTTTCTATACAGAGTGCTGGCCACCACTGAGAGTCCAATAATGCACATTCATTTTAACCTGTCTCAGCACTTTGGCTGCATATCTTAGCAAGTCCTGTCAGAAAGCATCATGTGCCCAAAATTTACAATCAGTATTTATTACTCTTCACTCTAACCTGGTTTCACCATTTTTTTGAGCCATTAAGTTTAGTTTTTCTTTAAATGAGGTGTGATTATCATGAAAAGATATTAATCCTTCAATATGTGACTACTTGCACGTTTTTCTCCTCCGCATTAAATATAATGCCAGGACATTTAATTGATTGATACAATAAAACCCTCTGCATTTAAACTATAGCCTGGAAAATGTGCACTTTCACTCAGCCTTATATGCACAGTTTGGAGGTGTGTGCGCCTCTTCAGAGCAGGGAACCCTTTTGCATAGTGAGCAGTTTTCTTGAAACATATCCAGCTTTTCTTTTATTTGTATGCTGTCACCAATCTGCAGACTCTCATAATTCATCAAACATAGTAGGGACTGCTCTGAATTCTTAATGCTAGCTTAAGGATCTTTCCAAGATATTTTGGTGACCAAGAGTATTCTGGTTCATATTTAATGTTGGGGGCCAGTCTTTGTCTAGTGTAACTGGGCTCTAACTTTCAAGGAATTGGTGTTAAGAGCTGAATGTTTCTGCACAGCTTTGATAATTTTAGAAAAGTCGCACAATGTAGGAGATGGAAGTTGTAATTCGTTGACACCCTCAGAGGGCTTTTGTTTGTTAAAGATTTACTTTTGCAAAAGGTTGCCAAGCTTAAACCTTATCCTTTTTTTCCAGTACCCAAATGCTACTATAATTTATAGGTTTATTATAGTGACATCTAGAGTGGAAGGTAATATACCAGGCCATATGCTACTTTTCTGTATTTTTTTTCCTCAACATATCCCTTTTTTAACGCATAAGAGCAGTAGCAAAGTGCCAAACTTTTATCTTTTACAATTGCACATGGGTGGCTTATCTTAGGCTTTCTAATTTGTTTTGTTTTATTATATATCTAGATATTTAATAATGTACTTGTGAAAAATAACTTAAGCTGTGACCTGCCCCTGCTATTAACACGTCTCAATATTGTATAACGTGTTTATACTTTGATATTAATGCATAGTATAGGCTGTGTTATGCATTGTGGCAGTGTAAGTATTGTGTTTTTGCTCAGTTGCTAGAGGTGCATAAATCACCACCACAGAGGAAGATATTTTTTGGGGCTGCTTTTAAAAGTGTTATCTGACAATAAGCTCCCCGAATATATATATATATATATATATATATATATATATATATATATATATATATATATATATATATATATATATATATATATATATATATTCAATCTAAATCATATACAGTGTTTGTGGACCATCTATTATAATAATATAGAAATCATCTATTAAGGATAACTCATGCATTTCTGTGTTGATGCTCATTGCATGGCTCCTCTGTTTATGGATTATAATCATACAAAATATAAACTATAATATACAAAACTGTAGTGTTTTTCGATTTCATTTCTCAGTTATGATGTGTTATATAACTTTCAAACCCATACTTTGAATATTGGGTCCTATAGAGCTATGTACAAAATATCTGCATGCAGTAAAGGGCATTTTAGAATTTAAATAAACTTTATTTAGTATGTAATGTACATATTTCCACAATGTTCTAAAATGAAAAAAGATACTGATCAAATTTATTACCAAATCTCACTAGTTTTCCAACTTGTAGCTAGAAGATGGCTGGGTATGATTTCATTAACATATTTATTGCCGTGTTCAGGATGTCTCAGAAGTTTTAGCTGGACTTGGTGTCCCGACTCCCCACTGAGTTAAATGTGTTGCAATTGCCAATTGGAGAACTGGGATTTGTGTTTGTGCCAACTTCTTACGGTGACTATTTACATTCTGTGTGTCCAAACATGAAAGGACATTTTTTTTTTAGTATCATTTGTGCCAGATAAAACCAAACAGAAATGCCAATAAATAACCAATAAGTCTATATTATTTTACAGTAAAGCAATATTATAATACTATTACTCCTACCTTATACTCCTACTTTATCTTAATTTATTTTCCATTATAATGTCTGGTACAACTAAAGAAACATTTGTTTACAGTCTGCCTTTTTTTTTATAATTACCCAAGTCCTTTAAGTTCTTATTTCAACAGCTATGGCATCACAGTGCCAAAAATAGTGCTTATAGGTACTCCATGTTTAGTGTTCTGACTTATTTTGATCATTCGTATAAATTAGATTCAGCTTGAATTTGAAAATTCTGATACGAAGTTATGTATCTTCCTTGTTCACCAGGTAAAATAAACTGAAAAGTCGGCCCTTTCCAGAACCAGCAATGATGCAGACACTCAAGTCTATGATTTAAATATCAATTAACTTAACATGCATATTTCTGTATGGTAGAATTACCCAAAGATAATCAAAAGTATTAATTCCAAGAATGCACTCTTTGCAAAAAATATTACTAGAGATGATTTGGATTTTAAAAATTCTTGTTGCTTTGCCATGGTACTGTGTACTGTATGTTTAAGGGCTTTAATGCCAGAAACATATGTTACAATCTTGTCCGAAAATTCTTGTTTATTAACCTTTGAAGCAAAATGAAATGAGAAAGCAACAGAAATAAGGACTAATCACTTTGATGCGATCTGAGCAAATCTGAGCTGGATTTATTTCATAATTACTTATAGTTGGCATTATAGATGTCACATTTTAATTGAAATTGCCTTTTATGACCAGGCATATTAACAGTGTACATGGACAATATCTATTATTTACTTCTCACATCTGTCAGAAAACAGTTTCATTGTTTATAAGCACTGCAACATGACATTAGTGTCATATTTCCTTACAGTCCATATGAAACTGGATAAAATACACACAAAAACTAAAATGAAAAGAATTCAGAAGAATATAAGGATTTAAAAAGGTAATTCAAACAATAAAAAACAAATCAGTTGAGATTAATTGGAAAACATACTTTCCTAAAAATTATTTCAGTTATGTAAATAGAAGTTTATATTATTTGTTAAATTCTACTAACTTTCTTGAGTTTTTTTTTTTCTTCCTGTGGTAACTTAAAATCATTTATTTTCTTGTCATAGTGAAAGGCAGATTTGTTTCCTCATGGTATTACACAGACTAAGGATAACTGTAATTTTTTTTGTGAGGATAAAAAAAAAAAAAGCAAACTTTAAATCATCTCTGACGGACTTATGTTTTTAACATATTACAGGACTCGCAACACGGATCAGATCAGAGCTGTTTACCCTTTAGAATGGAGAAATTGATCCGATCTTGAACAGAAGCGTCGGTTCCGATCGCGCGCAGGGCGGGGCAGTGCTATATGGCAGGCCGTTCTAACATTTATTAGCTTAACTGAATATACGTTATAGATGTCTCAAATGCATTTCTTCCTAGTCAAAAGGAACATTTCAGATATCTAAAATAACATTTCCCCTATCTAAAATATACATTGCTAATAGCTGAAATGTAATTCTTACAAGGAAAATGTAATTTAGGATTGCTTTATACAGCGACAGTTCTAGACCAAACGTACCAGGGGGCCATGAGGGGGCCAGCGGGTTTTCATGGGGGCCACGGAAAAGCATGAAATAAAAAAAAACAGGGCAAGGGATTCAAATATATTAAGATATCTGTATGAAGTGAAATCTCTATTCAATTAGGTTTAATTAAAATTCTATGTCTTATTAGGTAAAAAATAAAAACATTCATAATTTAGGAATTTTACCTATTTTTGACTTAAGTTAAAAATAAAGATTTATTTAAAATCTGAATTTGAATTCAAGAAAAACTGATGAAAATCATCTGTAAAAATTTGACTATTCTTTTTTATTCATTTGAAAAAAAGATTTAATAGAGTAAAACTGAGATCCTATCTCAATACCACTGAAGCTATTACCTTATTGTTTTTTAATAACTAGTAAAACAGGATTTGCACACAAAAAAATTGAAATAGATCTAAAGGACTTTTAAGTAACCATGTCTGTCCCAGTACACATCATCATTGGAATTTCTTTGAGTATTATGTCTTCAGTACAGGGGCCACAACAGGGACCAGGACATGATCTACAGGGGCACTGGCCCCCGTTGGCCCCTGTCTAGAACCGCCCGTGTCTAACTGTACATTTCTGGCTTGCAGGATTGTAGTTTTGATCTAGCCTGATAAACCAGACTAAATGTGAGATTGCCACTCGCAGGCAAAAATGATTTTGGCCGCTGGCAGGTGGGGCTAGTTTACTAGGCTAGTTTTGAACAGGAAGAATCTTATTTTAGAGATCAACAAATGGAACACTAGAGGCGACAGGGCTTCAAGTAAATGTCCAAACGGCCTGCCCTACTGCGCATGCTCCGTGCCTCTTTGTGGCCCTTGTCTTCTTGGTGGCTGTCTGGTCTACTGAGCCATGTTCTAGCCGTAAATCTATAAATACTCCACAGTTAGGCAAAGAAAAAAAACTATATATATATATATATACACATTTCGCTGCATTATTATTAACGCTCCTCCATCTGGCCATCGTTATAAATAGCCAGGAACAGACAGTGTCGATCCGGGGCGTCGACTGGCCGAGAGGCAGAGCATCCATTCCTCCTTTCAAAGGCTGTTAGCCTCAATTAAAGGCAGGGGGCAGCGGTGTCGGAGGGAATTCCAACATGTCCGGCTACCAAGGAAAGAAAAATATCCCTAAAATTACTGTGAGTACTTCGTGTCTGTTTTATTGTAGTTTCAGTTTACCTCACAATCCGATCAAAGCTAGCTGTTAGCTGCTGCATCCAGTCGGTTACTTTGATGATTCTAACAGCAGCTCTGCTGAAGCTCCACATACTAAACACAGGGGAGCATTCAGAACTAGATAGCTGGAATTGCCATTTGAATCTGTAATAGTTTATTTTTATTTTTATTATTAAATGCATATGTATCAAGAGGATGGCATCCCTTATTCCCAGTTATCCCACCATCAGCATCCTGGATTCATTGACAGCATCACATCATCTATGGACCCCTGACTCCTTTCTCTTATTTTAAACTGGCAGCATTTAATATATATTTAGTTTTTCATCCATGATATTTCAAGAGTGCAGTTTCATTGTGTTTAATTTGGGAGAAATCAAACTTCTTTTATAAAGTAGGTCAGGAGAGAGCATCTCTGCCTTCATTATGCAGCTGTCATGGCTGTCAGTGGGCTACTAACCAGACTTTGCTGTAATCCTACTCTCTCTAGATACTCTCTTCACATATAAAACAAATTGTTTTTTGTATTTGTTTTATTATTTTTGTGCTGGATTGATACTTAATAAAAAAATAAAACATTCCCCCCAGCCCCATGTGCATGTCTGTAGGGACATCTCAAACAGAACACAACTGATCAGAGTTGAAATGCATGCATAATTCTTTTCTTTTTCCCACAAATCTTGTTTTTTTAGGATTTTTATTTTAATCAGTTTGTAAAGAGGACGAGCTAAGACTTAAGTGATCCTATTTCATTTTCAGATCAAATGTTTTGGGAAACAGTTATAAAAAAGGATGACCTGATCAGTTTGTTCAGTTATAGCCCAAATGCTGTGTTTCCTGCTGCATCCCCCCACTATCAAAGTAATCACCAGTAGAACTGAATTTTAAGCAGCTCAATCCTCAACATATGAGCACATTTTGCATGTAGCTGCATCAAATCACTGCAAAGTCAGAAAAACAGAGATTTTCTGTATAAACTAAAGTATGAGTGCAGATTCCCTGCAGTGCTGCTGTTCTGGGAAACTGGAGAATACATTCATCCATTTTTAAGGGGAAAAGATGCATAAAAATGTAGAAATGTTTCTTGTCTGGCATGGTGTTTACAAAAAGTAGCTGATAAACTGGACTCCCTCTATCCACATTTCCAGATGTCAGTTTTGTGAAATTCTGCTGTGTTAATTTATACAGGTTTTCTGTGGGTCATTAAAAATCATTAAAAGTCAGTAAATAGTAATTTTTTTAATTAAGGCCTGATTTGGAATTATGTTCATTAAATGTGATTATTTTGGCATTTTAAAGTGCTTTATTTTGAAAACAAAAAAACCTTTATGAAAAATTTTATTAAATGATATATATATTTGCAAATATGCAAATACATCGCAATATATTATATCGCAGTATATTTGCATATATTGAGGCGGAGAAAAAGCTGGAGAATGGGAGGGGGGAAATGCTAATCTAAAAAAAAAAAGTGGCTGGAAATCAAGGAAATCAATGATTTCTAAGAAAAAGCATTAAATTAGAGTTGCTCATTCCTGTATAAACCCTGTTATACTTCCTCACCCAGACGGTTTTTATAGTCTTGGTTCACCCTTTGAAAAAAAAATGAAGTTTTTATTTGATACATCAATCAGGTAGTTTAAGGACGCCAGCAGGTTAGCTAACGGCTGAAAGCCGAGCAGGAAGATCCCAGATTCATTGTCCAGACAGGAACAGCTCCACAGTAGAGCCTCAAACCTTTAGAAGGTATTCCACAGATAAAATGAAAGGAGAAAAAAAGACAAGTTTAGTCTGAAATAGTCATGCATCACATGAGCATATAAATCCACTGTCTTGCATTGCTACAGCCATTTTGTTGTTAAATTTAATGATAATGCACTGACAGGGTTTTTTCTGGCTGATGATATTTTTTTGTTTTCTACTACTTTTCTTCTGTAATAGTGAGAGAACATAAAGTAGAAACATGTCAAGAAGATTCTCTCAGACTGAAATCCAACAGAAAATTTGGAGCAGGAAAGTTTTTCATTAAAACACATTTCACTGAACTTCCAACTGATTTTTATTCATTTAGAGGATTAAACAGTGAAAATCCTGATGGGACTTAATTGTTTTGACGCATATCATGAATAATGTAGGAAATTGATTTTTTTTTTTTTTTGTGCTGAAAATGCCAGTCAGGAAAAACTAAATTCCTGAATCCTGGCAGGTTGATTGGTGCATCTCTTTAATTTGATGCTTTGCTAATTATAAAACCAAAGCAAAAACCTGCAGTTGCAGCCATGTGCCTCTTTAATCGTGTCCACCAGGTAAACGCAGGTATTTTAGGTTAATGTTTGTGTTTACTAGTTTCTGCTTGGTCCTTTGATATTTTACTTAGTGGGCTAAGTTCAGAATAATCTGCTCAGGTTTAAGAACATCATATTAGTCTCTCAGCTTTTTGTCTTACTGCATGTTCTTGTATAATTTTTTAATGCTTCATCAATAAATGCAAACATTTTTTGTTCTTTTATTCTGACTTATACCTAAGAAGTTGTAATTAAATGACCCAGATCCCATCAAACCCTCCATGGTTAATAAACCTATATGCCCGCAGAGATGGAAAACTACTGTGAGCCACTGTGAGGCTTTCACAGTGCCGCCATCATTGGGTCTAAATGCTTCCCTTTAGAAAGCCTGTAGCAGAAGTAGGACAACATGCCACATTTTCTTTTCATCTCATTTTTCTGGAGCCAATTATGAAATGCGGGAGTCGTTGCTTTCGCCTAGGCTTTTGATCAATGATTTCCCGGCCCTTGTAGAAGTGGTGTAGGAAGCATTTAAAAATGGGGGGGGGGGGGGGGGGCACACATTGGCTAGAGGGAGGAGGCTTCATAAAGAGAGCAGCAGTTGCAGCCATGTGCGTCTTTAATCGTGACCAGCAGGTATTTAGGGGTGCAACTAAAGATTATTCTGCTAATCGATTAATCAGTTAACTATTTTTACGATGAATCGATTTATAATCGGATAAAAAAGATTTTTTTTTTAAAGAATTAAACCAGGTCAAACTAAATCTTTTCCACTTACGGAGTTCTGGATAGAACAAACTGACAGAGAAAGTTTTTTCTTTTATCTTAAAGGCAATATATAAATATATATTTTTACAATTTTGGTATGATTACTCCTCTAAGTGGGCCAGCTAAAGGCACATTTTAAAGTCTCTACACTCCAGTTAATGATTATTCAATAAATAAATTAGTTGACAATTATTTTAAATAACATTTCTTCGATTAATCACGTTAAAGGCACACTATGCAACATTTTTCAGTTAATTAATGTGTTCCATAACGTTTTGGATGATTAAATGAGTCATTTCAGGTTGAGCAAAGGTATTCTCGGCCGCCCTGGTGGTCTGTGGGGGAAATACCGCACTTGCAATTGCAGGAGCCCTCGGCCCGCACCCACAGGCTCAGAAGTCTCGCGAGAGTCGGTCTTGCTTTATGGCGAGAACTGCTACACGCCCCCAGTTAAAAGCATGCTCGTTGCTAGCACAGTGGCGATCTTTGTGCAGTTATCATGGTGGAACCAGCGTGAAAACAGCGAAAGCCCGTGTCGGAGCAGGCAAGAAAGAGGAAAAGGGCTCCGGACAGAGAGAGGAGTCGTACACGGGTGAACATAGGGCAAGCTTTTTCCGAATGGCGAGAGCTAAAATAAAAAGAAGGCTGCAAGGCTGACACGGACCTCGCATTTCTGCTGATGCGATTGTAAGTAACATTGGAATGGTTTCTCTCTCTCTGTGTGCATGTTCATACTTTCACTGTGTTAGTCATTCGTTGCGTTCGCCTGTCTGCTAAGCTCAAAACAACCGCGCCTGGCTTGACGGAGAAACCAGGAGAACAGCTGAGCATACAGTATTTACGACAGTGCACTTTTACTTTCGCCCTCTGGGGGGAGCCTCGCTGGAAAATCAACACCGGTTGCATAGTGTACCTTCAAATCGGATTAATTGTATTATTCTGTTAGTGCATTTTATCAGCCAACTTAACTCCAGTTAGTGGAGCATTTTCTTTAGAAAAATATCTACTTCCACTTTGATTTGACACACGTCTAAAGTTCAATTATCTCTAAAGTTCCTTCTCAGAACCACTAATCCAGGATCCAGGGAAGAAATGTTTAATCTGCTCAGCTGTAATCAATGTAAAGCCACCATAGTAGAACTTAGACATATGTGTTTCCACTGCAGTGTAAATATTCAAAAACTACTACAGACACAGTTAAAACTAGAAGTAGTGGAATCAGTGGAAATTTTAGACTTGTAAGTAGTCTGTCAATCTAGTGGAATGGATCCTTTCAGGGAGAAAGAGAAACGGATACATTTAAAGTCATATTTCTATGAATGTGTGTGTGTGTGTGTGGCCGGGGGTCTGATTGCAAAGCTTTGAAATGTGGAGGAAACATGCCAAATATTTTGAGTTCCTAGAATCCAAACAGAAATATGTGATTTATTTAAAAGCAAATCTTCTTTCAGAGCGACCGTCTCCTCGTCAAGGGAGCAAAGATAGTGAACGATGATCAGTCCTTCCTGGGCGACATCTACATGGAGGATGGAGTCATTAAGTAAGTCCTGCTTCAGGATTTCTTTCACTGCATGTGTGACCTTAACGCTGATTCAGCTTCTGCTTGTTTGTTTGTTTCTTCAGGCAAATTGGAGACAACCTGATTGTTCCAGGTGGAGTCAAAATCATAGAAGCCCATGGGAGAATGGTGATGCCGGGGGGCATTGATGTGCACACCCGTTTCCAGATGCCTGACCGAGGCATGGTGGCGGCGGATGACTTCTATCAGGGCACCCGGGCGGCCCTGGCTGGTGGCACTACTATGATCAGTTACGTGCAGATGTGCATGCTGTCAGGTGTAAGATTGTATTTGGCAGCGCATCATCATGCAAGAAGAGTAAAACCAACATGTTTATGTGTTGCTTATTAGTCGACCATGTGGTACCGGAGCCTGGTGTCAGCCTGCTGGCTGCTTTCAAACAGTGGAGAGAGTGGGCCGACAGCAAGTCCTGCTGTGACTATTCCCTGCATGTAGACATCACAGAGTGGAACAACAGCACCCAGGAGGAGATGGAGACACTAGTGAAGGATCATGGTATGTAGACAACACTGCTTTCACACAGACCACTGCTTGGGGGTAATCAACCCTTTTAAAGCTACAATGTGTAATTTAAAGTGACATCTAATGATCAGACTGCAACAACATTGCCCTCCAACAATACAGAGGCCATCAGGGTACTAAATGGCTTCCACGACGTTCGCTTTACCTATCTTGTCAAGTGATGACTCAGTTTTGTTTAAATTAGATGCTTCTCTCATTCTGCTTTGCCGCTCACTCCGGCCGAAGGCTCCTCTGATCCTCAGCAGTCCTGTCTGTCTCCAACAGTTAGCCTCTAGATGCTAGCATGGCCTGCCGTCATCTCTTCCAGCTCTGTCACCATGGCGGGCTCCTTCAATGTCACGCCATCCTACTTGCAGTAAGCTCTAGCCACGATTCTCTGCCTTCTGACCTCTCTCCGCCCGGCGGACAAATCCAGTCTGCCGTTCTGCTTCGATCCTCTAGTTATCCCGGGCCAGCTGTAGTCTCTTCCGGCGATCAGGGCTCTGTTTCATGGCAGACCTCTCCGATCTACCGCTGTCCTCTTCAGCGCTCTTCTTGAGCTACAGTAGCAGCTACAAGCTGCCGCTTTTGCCGCTGGGGCTCCTTAGCCGCAGAGGACAACGTAGCTGGCCGGGTCGTCCTGGTTATGGAGCTCTCTCTCAGCCACTGTTCTCACACTGATTCCCAGCCGCTTCTGTCTGAGCTCTGAAACACCGTCTCCCCTTACCTCTGTTGTCCAGGTGATTCATCCTCCTGTTTTAGGCAGTCTGACCAAAGCAAACATGGACCTTGGGCAGGAGGAAGATGTTTATAGGCTATAATGGTGATCAGGAATTGTGAGTTGTTACAAACCATTAATAATCAGAAGAAAAACAGAACTAGATATTGGGTCTTTTTAAATTTTTTTTACCTAAATTATTTCTTTGTGCTCTGAGTTTTTCCTTCACCCTCTTTGTTCCACCTTTGGCTGTTTTCTCTCATAAGCTTTCTAACTTCAGGTGTCAACTCTTTCCTGGTCTATTTGGCTTATAAGGACGTTTTCCAGCTTTCAGACGCTCAGGTATGCTTTGATGGTGGCCCACCTCTGATCTCTGCTGGCCTGTCTTTAGCAGTGTCTTCTTTTTTCAAAGGTCATTTGTTGGCTTTGCTGTGGATGACAGGACTTTATAAACGTTCACCTTGTTTCTCGCAGATCTATGAGGTTTTCAGCGTCATCAGAGACCTGGGAGCCATTGCTCAGGTTCACGCTGAAAATGGAGACATCGTTGCAGAGGTAAAAGAAGTTGACTTTTTTCACAATTTCCCTCTTTACAACCAAATACTCTGGTGTGTTTTTTTTTAAATTTTATGTAAAGGGAAAATAACAGCAAAAAAATGAGTCCAAAACACAAAAAAACATATGCAACAGAAAAATGCTGCAAACTAAAAATGCTGCTATCACTAAAAATAGACGCATCAATAAAACAAGATGCAACAAAAAGTACAGCAAGCGTAAAGAACATGGGGCAAACAAAAACAAAATGCTGCAATCACAGAGTGAAAATTATGAAAATAGTAAAAACAGCTGCAAACTCGCTCTAAAAACAGAAGTGCTCCAGACCACTAGAGGGGGTTAAGCAAAGAACTACACATATGCGACCAAACCCTCCATACAAACAGGAAAATGAGCTTTAAGGCAGAATTTAAAAAAAGAAAAAAAAGTTGGAAGAAGGAAGTAGAGGGTTTTTGTCTTTGCATTGTCAAACACATAATCTTACTTTAATACCAAGTAACAGTGTAGTTATGTATGGTAACACTCTGGTGGGATATGGTTTGTACTATACTACTATAGTTTTCGTAGTATATTACACTTTTACAGAACTGATGGGTAGAGGGATGAAGATAAATACAGTTTAATAGTGGAAAGAAGCCTAGCGTAAATCTTATTAAGGGTGTATTTACACCTGTCATATTTGGAGTTTGTTTCCCCCCTTTGATCCGGACCTTTTGTATAAATGTGAATAAAAACTAGCAAACTATGCTCTGCATTCAAATGGACTTCAGGTATGAATACAAACCGGCCTCTTTTCCACCCAAATACAGAAAGAAAATCTTTTTTTTTTTTTTTTTTGCAAGCAACCGTTGTTGTAAGTTGTAATCATACCTATTATGCTGTCTGTTGCTTAAATAATAATAATAATACATTTTATTCCAAAGGCACCTTTTTGAACACTCAAGGTCACCGTACAAAAGATAAAAACACAATGGCAGAAAAAATGTAAAAACACAGAATAAAAGCTATTTAAAAATACAAAGACTGGGACAGGGAAATTAATATTAAAGAGAATAGGCAAATTTAAAGAAATAATTTTTGAGTTGGGATTTGAAATGGAGAAGTGAGTCCATGTTTCTAAGTAGGGGTGGAAGAGAGTTCCAGTTTTATATTAGCTTAGAAATGCCGCTGCCAGCAGAGGGTGATTCTTCCTAACGCAGTCACCAATTTAAAGATAAAGATAAATTCCCAAAATCTAAATTAATGAGCTGCTCTAGACCCTATCCATGATTTATGCTGTATGCAGGAATTCCATCATTTTCCTCCATTTAAGGTGTTGTATTCTGTAGTCATTTCTGACTAGTTGGAGCATTGATTGTCAGATGAGGTTTGCTGTGAGCTATAGTCCACTTGCAAAAAGTATAAATTGAATTGAAACCAGACCAAAAAAAAAGTGCTTTTTTAAAATAGCTCCATTCCATTCGAATGGAATGGAGCTATTTTACAAGAAAGAAAAATCTGACTCTAATTCTGCAAATTCTCTTGGGCATGTAACTACAGTAAAAAGTTGTTCTTCGAACCTTTTACCACTTTAGCTTATGACCCATAAGATAGTGTCAATTCATAACCTCAGCTGTTTGTCAAGTATAAACACATTTCTACAAAATAGATTAACAACTGGTGTAAAAATAACAACCTCAACAACCCAACTCCTTTGCTTTCTCAATTTTTGCTTAGATCGATTCCTGTGTTGGATCTTAGGTCTCCGTACTGGTCACTCTTCCAGAATTTGGAATTGATGCCATAAAGGGTTAACCCAGAAACTGAATACAGATGTATATATTTTAGATTTCTATTTTTGGAAAAAATAACTGAAAATATATCATAAATTTTGCTTTCAAAAAACAAAGATTAAAAAGTCATGCCTTTGCTATTATACATTTTTTTTTTCTTTTTGGGAATGGAATTGTAATTTAGGAGCAGAAACGCATTTTAGAGCTGGGGATCACTGGCCCTGAAGGTCACGTACTGAGTCGTCCTGAAGAGGTAAGAATCTGATCTGTGCTGCTGGGGATTAAATAAAAAAAGCAGAACACTCTGAATTCAGATAACAAAACACCTGTGGGTGACATGACCTCTGCGTGCTTCCGTCATTAACCACAGGTGGAGGCTGAGGCAGTCAACCGATCGGTCACTATAGCCAATCAGACCAACTGTCCCCTGTACATCACCAAGGTGATGAGCAAGAGTGCAGCTGATGTCATCGCTCTTGCTCGAAAGAAAGGTAAAGAAAACAAAGGCTCAACCTTTTTTCTGCAGTTTCTTTGCTCTGACACCGCGCCGTCTGCTCCTATAGGTGCTGTGGTTTATGGAGAACCCATATCCGCCAGCTTGGGGACAGATGGAACCCATTACTGGAGTAAGAACTGGGCCAAAGCGGCAGCCTTTGTCACCTCTCCGCCGCTCAGTCCTGATCCCACCACCCCTGACTACCTCAACTCTCTGCTGTCATGGTAAGTGCTAAAGGCCATTACCGATAAAAAGCTGCAGCTCATAGGCAACATGCGGACTACTCCATATCATTTTTACTCCTAATCTCTCTGTTTACCACATTTATGATTCATCCTTTGCAGAGTTGTTCTTCAGAGAGGCAAATTCAAACCATTGTAGGTATCAGATCTGCTCAGGTGTTCAGATCTGCTCAGGGCCCTGCCCTTTCTTATGACGTCATCATACGGCAACGCCACCCGGACAAACTCTTTTGCACCCATTCCTTAAGAAGCAAATCTCTTTTGGAATCCCAACATATTACTACCCATATTTGCTATTATTTTCTATTTAATCCATGATCTAAAGTAGCCGAACATAGAAAACAATAATTCTCAGTCTTGAAGGAAAGCACTGCTTATAACTCAGCTTATTTTCATTCTTTTTATTAAGATCCAAGGGCAAGGGAGGACAAATGGAACATCTTAAAAAATGACTTTCGTAGCAATTTTAGATAAAGAAAACAAGTTATTCTACTTGAAGAAAAAGAACGGTTGTTGTTGACATAAAGTTAAAAATTGTGTAGCTTAATATAGCTAACTGACCGAGCTAAAACAGGCTAACCTGTTAGCTACTGAGCACAGCAAGTCACAGCGCTGCACAGCTCTCCCCCGTTACTTTGTTCACCATAAACAGATTTTTTCAGTTTTGTTATCAATCAGGTAAAACTTAATCGGTCATTAGACACTCCAACGCCACAGATGCTCCAGGCTTGGCACACGGATGCTGCATTATGTCAATTATTGTTACCTGGACGACCACAATGTTTTACAGCATGTGGCAACATTCAGACAAACGTATAGCATCACTGGCATACTGGAATGAGGCAAATAGATGGTTATGGTCTATTTATTTACAGTGGGGACCTGCAGGTGACTGGTAGTGCTCACTGCACGTTCCATACATCCCAGCGCGCAGTAGGCAAAGATAATTTCACCATGATTCCAGAAGGCACCAATGGCACCGAGGAGAGGATGTCTCTTCTCTGGGACAAATGTGTGGTAAGTAGGACCTATATGTATAGCAGTTCAAAACTACAAGGAAAAAAAATTTTTTACTTGTGTTTGTGCATCGGACATGTTTGTATTATTTGCTGCGTCTTTAAAAGGTGACTGGAAAGATGGATGAAAACCAGTTTGTGGCAGTAACCAGCACGAACGCAGCCAAGATCTTCAACCTGTTCCCCCGCAAAGGTCGCATCGCCGTGGGTTCTGATGCCGACCTCGTGCTTTGGGACCCAGATCTAACAAAGATCATCTCAGCAAAGAGCCACAACCTGGTCTGACTCTTATCGCCCTTATTATCTTTTTTCACTGCTTTTGATTTATTAATTTTTTTCTGTATTTGTTTGATTAGGTGTAAACTTTCTGTTGATCGAACCTATTTATGTCACAGGCTGTTGAGTATAACATCTTTGAGGGGACAGAAGTGCGCGGGGGCCCTGTGGTGGTGATCAGCCAGGGTAAGATTGTGTTGGAGGAGGGGACCCTTCACACCACGGAGGGCTGCGGACGCTACATCAGCCATAAACCCTTCTCAGATCACGTATACAAGAGGATAAAGGCTCGCAGCAGGGTGTGTTTTCTTTAACATCCATCTACTCACATAATATTCTTTCATTTTATTTCTGTTGGTCAGAAATTTAACTAGTTCAGATCTATGGACTATATTAGTGTTACAGTGATTTTAGGAATGCATTTTAAAAATATAGAATGAATCTTTGACACTTTGCAACTTCAGATAATTTAAAAAATAAAAATTGTTTTAATTGGTTGGGTAGAAGGAGAGCACCTCTGGCAACAATAATTCTCATTCACAAAACAATGAGATCTACGTAAAGTAGTAAAAACCCTAAGCAACCTTATTTTGTAGAATTGGTCCAGTTTGACTTTAGGGTTAAAGGAGAGTCTTTCTATTAGGGGTGTAAATCACATCCATCATGGCGATTCGATTCAGTATCGATTTCCTGACCCAGCGATTCGATTATTTTCGATACTCAAGAATACACCACGATACGATTCGATTCGATTTATTGGTAAATAGATTTATTTATTTATTTATTTTTATACACCTTACAGGCTAGACCAGTGGTCTCCAACCCTGGTCCTCAAGATCTATTGTCCTACAGATTTTAGATGCATCCCTGCTTCAACACAGCTGAATCAAATGAATGGCTTGAAAAGGTAATCAATCATTTGATTCAGCTGTGTTGAAGCAGGGATGCATCTAAAATCTGTAGGACAGTAGATCTTGAGGACCAGGGTTGGAGACCACTGGGCTAGACAATGTTTCAAATTTGACATAAATCAATGAAAGCTGTAATATCGTTCTGCATTTTTTTGAGAAACAACAGCAAATGACAGAAGTAGAAAAGTTGTACTCCACCTAGGCCTATTAAAACCTCATTCACTGAAAAATAATAATACCCCTGCGTTATAGATTCTTAAAGGCCTTGCATCAAAAAAATACTGCACAAAATCAGTGCAATGAGTGCAATTCAGTACCTCGGCTCCAGACGTCCCCGCCCCCTCCACAGACTCTCTGCTGCTCCTCTACCAAATTGTAGCTGACCGCAAACAGCGCCGCAGACAGGAGCCACCGCAGCACGGGAGGGAGAATTACGCCCAGGAGCAAATGGAAAAAAATAGACCCGAGGTAAGAAAACAACGGCTGTTGGATCGATGCATTGATACAAAACGATTATTATTTACACCCCTACTAAATGATGAATGAGACCAAGATCCATATTCTCCATCTTGCATCGCAGATGCATGGAGAGAAAAAAACATGGCGGATGAAATGCAGAGAGCAATCTTTCTTTTTGATTATCTTGGAAAGATTGCTTTGTTAATGCGCTGACTCTCCTTCGAAAAGAAATCGCTAGATGCGCTCCAGCACTACCATCCGTGGTTACCTCCATAAACACAGAGCACGCTCTCTCTAGTGTATGTACGGGACACTAAAGTTGTATGAATGCAGTTCACACAGTTCATTTGAGTCATATATATTTGGATTTGTGAAAGAACACGCAAAACCAGCGGAATTTACCAAAAATAAAAAATAAAAAAACTGCCTGCAGTGTGAACGTAGCCTGAAGTCCAATTTATAGCCTCTGTAACCGTCAAATCTGTCTCTGTGCGCGAAGATGTCCCCTGCGCAGAGGTTCTGCAACCGTCATCGCGCACCTCAAAATAAAATCCTGACTAAGCATCGGATGGTCGCAAACAGGTGCAGATCTTAAGCGGAACAGATGAAAAGCAGCTGTGACTGGTCCTTCGTATGTCTTTCCAGCTGTCTGTGTGGTCGTACTTAGACTTCGACAGATTTATTTTGTAATTTTGTATACACGATTATATACCAAAAGAAATTTTGTTTAAAAAGGCTCCAGACAATTTCATTTTTTAAAGTGCAGCCTTGAAAAACAGTAAGAAATACATAAAAAATAGTAATATAAACATAAGACTGTATATTTACAGTTCTAACAGTAATTATTTTATTTTTTTCCTTTTTTTATATATAGTCCTCGATTCGGTGCCGATGTCCATATACAATGGACAACTATGTCGAAAGGTCAATCGCTCTTTTTGCCAACTCCATTAACAGAACCTGTTTTTCTTCGATGTCCAGCAACTCTAGATCCATCTCCGTGAACGTGATATCTTGCAGATGCGCCATTGTTGTTTTGGAAGATAAACACTCCCACCGGCGCTACCGAAGTTCTTGTGACCATCCGCCGAAGTTCTAGCGAGTTCTTGAATAGGCTCCCCCCTGCGCTTTGGCGGGAAACTGCAGTGCGTCCCTAAAAATTCCAGACGGACGGTGCTGAAGCATACCAGCAGAACTGGTTCGCGACCAGACCCAAGCGACATTTGATGTGTGCGGTTGCAGAAGTCTAATCTGCCCTTTAGTGTCTCCTGGGTTGTTTTTGAAAATTCAACCATTTTTCAGGCCTCACTGGAGGTCAAATGGTTAAAAATGAAATCCAACCAAATGTTCTAGTAACAGAATACCCCCAAACACCTACCATATTACACCATTAAACCCATTACAACATTAAGCTTAGGAATGGCCTAAATCTCAACCATATTTTTGGGCCATGCTTAAAATGTAAGGAGGAGATTTAAATGAGAATGCCACAAGGTTCTTCGTCTGTCAGAGAGGTGCTGGAAACATTAGCAGAAGTGTATGTAAATGTTTGTATTTATAGTTTTAACTCGGCATCAAACATGTTTTTTTTTTCTCATAAGTCATCAAAGTTGTATGTATTATAATTAACTAAAAAGAACAGCTCAAATAAATAATTAAAAGCCCAACATTAAGGGCTCTTTCTTACCAATGCAGTGAATTTGAACTTTGTAGAACATGTTCACTGAAGACATTGTCCGTCTTGTCTAGCTCACAGAGCTGCGCGGAGTCCCCAGGGGCCAGTATGACGGGCCAGTATGTGAAGTAACCGTGACTCCAAAAGTAATGTCCCTAGTTTCCTCGACGAAGGCCTCCCCTGCTAAGCAGCAGCAGCAGCAGCAACAGCAGTTCCCTCATCAGCCGGTGCGCAACCTCCACCAGTCTGGCTTCAGCCTCTCCGGTCAGTTCTTGCAGGAATATTTCTCCTTCACAGCTGCTTAATCTCACCAAAAGCAGTCTGCAAACTTCTAATTACATATTTATTTATGTCTTAAGGCGCCCAGATTGATGACAACGTTCCGCGTCGCACAACTCAACGTATTGTGGCGCCCCCTGGTGGAAAGGCAAACATCACCAGCCTCGGCTAAGCTGCTTTTCCTCGACTTAGCCTCAGAAGGAACATGGGACCCAGAGGCCACAATTACCAACATCACACCCGTTTTCTGTCACTTCTGGCTCCCCTGCACCACTTCTGACCGTCTTACACCACAAAGTCACATTGGAAAAAAAGCACTATTTCATGTTGTGTCACCTCCCCGAGCATACATTCCTGTACCGAGGTAGGATCAGATGAGTTTAGGAAAAAGTTTGATTTACTTGTTGATTTATTTAGTTGTTTACATTGCTTTTATAACCTCTACATTTTAAAGAATAGATCAGAGCGATGGATTAAAACTACTCAGGAGAGGCAGTTTTATGATATTCTAACGGCAAATAAAGTTCAGTTTTGTTTTTCTCTTATAGCTGATAATTGAATGTTCTAAGGACAGAATCACTCCGTGCAAAAAAGTACAGGTATATCCAGATTAATGATGGAAACATGAAAACTTTAAAGATCCAGAAAGCAATCAATTCCTCCAACCATTTGTTGTTGTTTTTTTACGTTGCGAAGAAATCATCAAACTAATAAAATCTATTATGAATACCTGCTATGTCACTAGAACATGTTCTAATTCTGATCAAATCCATATTTATTTCTTTTTATGTAATTAGTTACATTATATAGGCCTTATTTCAGAGCCATTAACTGGTCAGTTGTTTTTTTGTTAAAATAACCAAACATTAAACTTCACCTCCAAGATATTAATATAAATGCAATACAATTAATTGCTAAATAATAGAGCTAAAATATCAAATCCTAAAACAAATTTTAAAATCATAAATTTCTGCTCCAAACTGTCTACTTAGAGCTACTGTAGTTTTAAAATGAGTTACACGCCCTTAAGTTTACAGACCGCTATAGTCCATAGTTTCACTAATGGGAATATGAGAAAACAGCGAATTTTGCTTTACCTGTAAATGAGGAAAAACATGTAGCCTTTTTTCTTTTCAACTGACTAGCAGTGTGCAGCAACAGGTGTGGGAGGGGCCCTTTATAAAATAACAGACTAATGACTCTGGCACTTTTTCTGATATTTCATTAAAAGAACTTTTTTATTGCTTAGGAAGGTTATGATGAAAACCTTTAGCCGGTAACGCTCATGCTCGCTGCTGTCACACCTATAATGATTCATCGGCAGGATGTCCTCTGCTGCCATTTTTTTTTTTAACCTTTTTATAAAAAAAACATTTTTTAAGCCTGCAGTATTTGATGTTTTTTTTTTTTTGTTGGTGCTGTAATATTCTTGTTTTGTAATGGTTGCACTTTCCTCTTTTATTTATTTATTTTCTTAAATAGATGGTTTATGTCGTGAAACGTTAACTGCACTAAAAGGGAGAGAGAGGGTATTTGGGGATCCTGCTACTCAACGTCCTGGGCGGTTCATGACATCTCGTGAAGAAATATGAACTTTTGCCCCGCATTGCATTGAGTTTTTTTTTTTTATTCCCCTCACGGCTTTAGGTCTTTTTTTTTTTCTTTTCCTTGAGGGTCGTCAGGGCAACCAGCATCCAATCCTCAAATGTTTGTTGTTCAGGAAACAGATTGACCCTAAAGAGAAGTTTGATTGGAGGTTTTTGCCAACGACCTCTCTGCACCCGGTGCTTTCTGACCTTTTTGCTGTATACCAGCGTATGATGTCCACATCCGTGCAGCGGTCGCCTAAGCTCTGTATGTTTAGCAGCCGGGGTAGAGCCAACCAGTCACCCAGTTTCTTTGTATTTGCACCTAAAACAATCCAAAAAATAGTTAACGTGTATGTGAGATTGCAACTTTGTACTAGATATATATGTACGTTTTAAAGAAACGTGTTGCCTGCCTGTTATGTAAGATATTGATAGTACACTGTATCAATGAAGGCTCTTTAAAGAAGTGGAAAGATGTTTGTTTTTTTGGGGAGACCTGATGGAAAAATCTTCAGTGTGTGTATATGAAGTCCCTCACAGCGTGCTGATGATGTCCTCTTTTCTTGGTGTTGGTGTTGTGAAAGACGTTTAATGATGCTGTATATTGTCCCTTTACCTTCCTATCTACACAACTTCGCAAACACCAGATTCACTTAAGCTAATAACAGTGTTCATGGCCACACACAGCTCCTCAGCAGAACGCTAGACTATTTCTCTTCATTGCCTTGTTAAGTGTAGGTTTTTGTATACAAAGCTATACTGTGAAGTGATATACATTTGGGGAAGTTCCTTGGAGATGGTTATCTAGATGTAATGTTAAGCACTGTTTGCCCTTTTCCACCAACTGTGATGCTCTTGCTCATGTTTGCTTGTTTTATTTTACTTGGATGTACCAGAGTTTGGAGGGAACCATCGGTCCTGTCAGCATTTGACCTTCTCTGTGTTCAATTCAGTGGATTAAAATAATAAAAAAGTTAACTTGAGTTTCTGACTTTCTTTTATTTGGAGAAACTATCTTTTTCGAAATAAAGACAGTCCCCCCATAGCTCACTAATAATGTAACAAAAGGCAAAGAAATGGTTATTTTAGGAACAAACTACCGTAACACACCAATTCTGTAATTTTTGCAATGTTGGGCAATGAGCATTGTCTCTTCTAAAGGTGCAGCCACTGAAATAAATATTAAATCTGTCAAAGTTTTACTCTTATATTTTCTTAGGTTTTTGAATTCTAATCAAGAAATTCATCAGTTCGACACAAATCAGGGTTTCTGGGGGTCATTAACCCATTTAGGCCGGGAAAGCATTACCGCATTTCTACCATTCAAGCCGGGGGCGCTGTTGCGTAATTCTACCATTGACGCCGGGAGAGCATATAAGTCAAGCAAGAAGAAAGAAGTTTTTTTCAAGCAAACATGGAGGAGTTTGACAGAGAAGAGATGTCGGAAGGCAGTGATTTTGAGGAGTGTGTCGGCTTTGATGACGGTATAGATGAAAATGATGACTTTGAACGCGCTGAACCAATCGAACTACCACCGCAATGCACGGAGTGTTTTCAACCGCACACCTGGAGTGAAAGTTGATTTGCCTGCAGACACCACACCGCTGCAGGCATTTGAGCATATTTTTAATGAAGAACTTTGGATGCATCTTGTTACCGAGACGAATAGGTACAGTGACCAAACAAACCAAACTCCAACAAGAGCAAAGATGGCAAAGTGGTCACCCGTGACTGTGACGGAGATGAAGACATTTATTGGGCTGTGTATGGGCATAGGACTTCTTGTGTTGCCAGTACGAAGAGATTATTGGCGACAGAGTAAACCTCTCTTCAGGACGCAGTTCCCCCAAAATATGTCCCGGGACAGATTTGTGGCCATCTGGAGGTAAGTTGTATGCAATTTATAACACAGACATATGCATTATTATGCATAATAATACTGTTAATAAGTAATCATCAGATAGTTATTTATGTAATGTTTGTTCTTTATTTTAAAAACGTTTTATATTGCACATTCTCAATGAAGACATGATCACATATGGAAAAAATAAAGGTTGAATTTTTTATTTTTTTATTACTGCTTTTCACTTTTTTTTTTTGAAGAATTTCAAAGATAAAATATATTTTGAGTTCTATCTGCTACAGAAGCTGAGATATCAATAATTTACTAGGCGTTGACACAGTTGCTGAATTTACAGAAAAACTTCAGGTTTTAGGGGTATTTTTTAAAATCGGCCATAGGTTTTTAAGGTGTTTTTTCCAGGCGTTTTAGGCCTAAATGGGTTAAAAATCATGAAGTCATAAAATTTGGCGTTAAAATTCATTAAATTTGATAATCGTGACATTAAAATGCTTCGGAAAAGAAGCTTGAGGCGGGGAAAAGGCTAGAGAATGGGGAAAATGTAAATTTGAACCAAAGTGGCGGGAAAACGAGGAACTCGGGACATGGCTGCAGCCTGTCCATGGTGAAGATGGTGAAGGATTTTGCCATATATATATATATATATATATATATATATATATATATATATATATATATATATATATATATATAAAGTCATGGGTATTTGTTAGATTATTATGTAAGATAATTTCTAACAGCATTAAAAGAGCATTAAAAGCATTAAATAAGAGTTACTCATTCATGTATAAACCCTGCAAATACATTAAAACAAATGATGTGTGAAAAAGAGGAATTATGCAGAGCTCATGAAAATAAGAATGTGTTTCTGGTAGCAGGTTTAATACTGATTGTTGCTGTGATAAAGCATGTTAATGGCAATTTTTACAGTTGATTTTTTAATTTTAGGAGCAAAACTGAAGACGAAATAAAAAAAGTGGGAAGAACATTTCCAAAGATATTTGATAGGAGTCAATAGAAGAATTAGAGAGACCTAGAAAGAACAGACAATTACTAGAAAAACACCTTGTTAGTCTCACTGTTCAAGAAACAGCAACTTAAACATTGTTTAAATTTTACCTAACATGGTTTAAATAAGTGGATATATTCTGCTCAGGTGAGGTCACAGCTGAACTCTAGTTAAGCAATGTTAGAAAGCTTGTAGAATCTAAATGTTTTGTTTTGCACATTTCCTGATGTTTTAATGGTCTGTGCTTTTACAGCACATGCGGTCCTAACACTAACTTCTGCTAGTTACGTGAAATAAGAAATATATGAGGTATCGTATCATCCTTAAATATTTATCTAATATCTAGAAGAACTTTGACAGAAACAGTCCCTTTCTTAATCCCTTCATTCATTTTCTGAAGTGTTACAAGAGTTGTCAGGATCTGGTGATAATTCCATGTGAATAGAAATATCAAAAATGTATTTATTGAGAAAAAGCTTGTCATTTTCACACTTATTTAACCCACTGTTTTCCTACTAAAACTGTTTAGCCTTTCTTTTTTTTAATCACACTGTTATTATAAATAGTGCACAGCATTTTTCTTTTCAGAGACTTAGATGTGCTCCCTTCCGGACATATCGACAAGATTTAATAATGGTCTTATAATGACATTAAACATTTCATGATTGTAACAACTGCATAACTGTCAAGCATAATTTAAAATGATGCATAGATTTATAACAATTTTAAAAATACAAATGACCCTCCTCTACTTTGATACCCTTAAAAGAATCCAGAGCAACGTTACCTTCTGACATTAACTCATGAATAAATGATGCCCAATTTAAATTTACTTTGAATAAAGCTGTTCTGTGGCGCCGTCATTAGATTTGTTTAGACAAAAAGCATCACAAAGACAAAGGAACACAACAGAAAAGTTTGTTCAAGAAATGTTAAAGGCAAAAAACATGTGGTGAGCCCAGCAAACATGGAGAAAAATGGATGCTGTCATCAGATGAAACCTGAATTATATTTTTAGCAAAACACTGAGTAAAAGAAACACCACCGAGAAACATGCTGATGGCAGAATCATGCTGTGAGGATTCTTTTCTTCAGTAGATTATCAAATAAAAAGATTGACAGAGATTAATTTAGTTGTTATGTGTCGGTTTCCTGCATGTTTCAGATTTTTCCCTGGATTAAAACACCAGATTTAGACTCCACTCTAGAAAAACCTTTTTAATCAGCTGTCAGGGAGGTGAGGTCAGGTGTGCTGAAGGAGGGGAAACCCTAAGACATGCAGGACACCAGCCCTCAAAGACTGAAGTTGGATACAACTGGTTTTAATCAAATCAAATTGATTTGTTAGAAGGAACCAATCAAAGTCCAGAACAAAATCCAGCTGCAACTCAGTGAGTAGCCAAAATAATTGATATTCGCAGAGTCTCTGAGGTCTGACTGAGCTTCAGCTATTTTGCAAAGAAGAAGAATAGAAATTTCAGGCTTTAGTCTCAAATAATCCTCTTAGCTCCTCTTCCTTCACTGTCCATATAGTAAGAACAAGACTGTGGGGAAGACAGGAAGCCTTTCAGTTGTGGCTATTCCACGGAAACACACAAGGATGATGCTGGTCAAAACCTGGACTGTAGCCTTCAGAAAAAAAAAACTTGAAAAAACTCACATTACATAAATGTAGTGAACAGCTGAAGCCCTCATTACTATAATATAGGTGCATCCATTTGCATGTGTCACATGAAGCAATAAGGTTTTTTTGTGAATTCATGAGGTGGTCTGTGCCTACATGCCTAATCCTGCAAAGGATTGTGGGATTTCCTATAGCTCTTAAGCACCAGATAGCAACATGGTGAGGTCCCTATGCTAAATGAAATATAATAGGAAGCATGCAGTCTCCTTTTCTACCTCTTTCCTTACCAGGACAATTTGAGCAGCACTTGTCATGGAGAACATTGAGGCAAAAAGTAAATAGTGTCACAGTCTAGAATGTGCAGCAGTAAGGACCATGGTGGATGGATGCAAATGCACACAACATGCTTTGTCTGTTTACATTTTAAAAACCATGCTTGGCTTTCTTTTCCTTTTACAATTATGCACCATTTTTGCAGCTTTGTCACATTAAATCCCAGTTAAATAGATTGAAGTTGATGGTTATATGATTAAGCCTGTAAAGGTTTAAGGGATATCAACTCTATAGAATCATCATCAAAAATTTACATTTTGAATTAGTGTCCCCCTAGCTTTGTCCAAATACCAAATGCAGGCAGATTAGCTGATATCAAAAGTCAACAGCACCTGACATAAAACAGCTGTTCTCTCACTGATCTGACAGCTACGCTGCATTTACCTTTATACTAACGTTTAATCTTCCAGCTCTGCTTCAAAAGGAACAGCTCCATGCATAAGCACTACCTTGGTATAGATTGATTTTAATGTCTCCAAAATGTTAAAAATAAGTCTATACTTAAGTCTAATATAAGGGGAGGGAACATTTTAGGACTCTTTATTAGGCCAAAACTCATGAGGAATGTTTCGTGTATTATGAGTGATTATTTCAATTAATTCCCCTCAAAGCATGCCTATAATTCTTCCATCTCACAATTAAAATATTATATTGGCCGAAATCCAAGGATTTAGGATTGATTAACGGGAATCCCACTATCCAAACACAGCCTATGGTGCTTAAATGCTGAAATTCCAGACACATGGCTATAAATCCTCATTTTCAAAGATAAATCACTGAAATTGGTCAATCCTTACGCCAAAAGGAAGACCGACTTATGAAGGACTAAAACAGCCCAAATTGGGCAGCATCAGAGTGATATTAATAATTATGCCCACAAATCCATGCATCCATACCTGCCTATATTCTCCTTTGGGTGAGTGCCTGTCCTCAGTAGTCGGTTGTTGAAAGGTGAACAGTATGAAGCTCAAGGGCTCTCATAAAGATGCGTGCACACACTCAGCCTTAAGGGTGTCATGATGGGTTCACTAAAAGCGACCCAAGAATGCAGAACACCACTAACGGACACAGGGATGAAAGTTTAACAAGTTTATTATGCACAAGCACACAGAATGTACTGGTTCTGGTTCGGGGCCTGGATACTGGTTCACCGGA